TCGAGTGGCCTGATCTTTGTACCAAGGAGCTCGCTTTGGTTTACCCTCAGACTTGTCAGACTTATCAGGTAACTCTCCACGTCCAAGCGCTTTGACCAACTCGTCCAACTGCGCCTGTACACGAAGTAGTCCACCCGATTCATCTTTGCCTTTACCTTTTCCTTTTCCACGCCCACCTCCACCTCCAGACTCGGACTTGGCGGCGAGCTGCTTCTTGTGCGCCTCTTGGGCGCGACTGCGGATATGGGCGGGCGCCGCGTTGCCGCATCTGCCGCGAATACGGCTGGCCCAGTTGTGAGCGGCTCCGCACCGCCCACAAGCCCACTCAGGACGACGAGGACCCAGTAGGACATCATCGTCATTGGCCATGGAGCGCTCCCGCGGGAGCAGACGGGGGGCTGCCAGCAGCGGACTGCCTGCTGGCGGGGCCTCCCGCGGGAGCTGAAGGCCAGCAGCGGACTGCCTGCTGGCAAGACTTGAACAACAAGGCCCGCGAACGCGGTGCCGCGCTGAGTTCTCGCGTTCGCAACCCCCTGAATCTCTCGAGGGGGCAGCACGGCTGAAGGGGGAGAAGGAGGAGGGGGGAGGAGGGGGGAGGCAGAGGAGGAGGGGGGAGCAGGGGGGGGAGGAGGAGGAGGAGGAGGCGGAGAAGGAAGAGATGGCCTTCGCAGAAGGTGCCGGGACTTCTCAGAAGCCCCCGCGCCGTCTGAGAAGTTGTCTGAGCCTGCGGAGAAGGCTCAGAAAACAGCTCGGAAGGCCGGGAAACTTCCTGTAAGCTTCCGAGACGACCCGCCCCTTCGCACTTCACCCCCGGGCTCGCCGCCGAATACGACCACTCTTCGGCACCAAGTCTGCAGCCCAGCTTCGCCAAAGCGCTGCGCGAGCCCGATACCAAAACTAGTCACGAGTGCAGAGTGCGCTCAGCATTCAACAAGCATCTTCGTCGTCATCATCGTCATCGTCATCGTCATCGTCATCGTCATCGTCATCGCCACCATCAGGGGGAGAACCAACTGAGGACAACTGCGATACCACCAGGACGCCATCGGAACGCCGATCGGGGCACCGAATTACCGGGACACCACAAGAGCACCACCGAGACACCATCGGAACACCACCGGGGCCTGGCCAATGCTGCGCACCGCCACGGTGCGGTCAGGCCCTGACGGCTCAGGCCTCTCGTCGCACCCAGGGTCTCTTCGGACGGCGCCGCGAGAGACCCTCGGTGACAGCGCCCGAGGGGCGAGGGCCATTGCCGGAAGATCGTCCCGCCGACCCCGCCCCCTCTTCCGCGCCGCCGAGGGGCTGATGCGCGGCAGAGCGAGGAGGCGAAGATCCCCGCTTCGGAGGCTGCCGGAGCTGGTGCCGGCCCAGCGTGCCTCTCTGCTGTCGCGCTATGTTGGGGCCCTGGGGTGCCCGGGGTCCTCCAGGCATCGCTGCTCGAACCGGAGGTTGAGCCATGAACTTTCCTAGTAGGGGTCCTCTCCAAGGGGCCTCCGAGACCTCCTCCCCTCAACTCACCAATTTTCTTGTCAACTCGCTCTCTTTTCTTCCTCCACTCGCTGGGTGTGCTCTAGAAACCACCTGAGCCTCCCTGGAGGGTCGACTTGGGCCGGGGTCACCTCCGGCAACGCCCGACCGCTGCCGCACCCACGGGGCACCTGCCGAGGAGCCGCGCCGCTGGCCGTTCGGAGACGCAGTGGAGCGGCCAGGGGGTGCCACGGGCCCGTCTCCCAGCCGCACATCGCGGAGTACCAGGCATGCACGGCGGGTCGCGCGCACGACGTCGAACAAAACGCGAAGGTCAGCTCGCTACACGTTTCACGAGCGGCGAACGCATCCATACTGTATTCACGCCCTCGCGGTCTGGATTCATGGGCGCGATCCCGCGTATACGAGGCCGTACGGATACGTTCCGCGCGGGGCATCCGCGGAAAAACGCCCTGCACCCGCGGGATCGCAGCCAGGGGCCCGGCCCGCGAGGCCGCGGATACGGGTATGTTTTTCTTCCACGAATGTTTCACGACTCCCTAGAGCATTGCTCACCCATGGGCTAGAAGTGCCTATTTGCTCGCGTTGTCCTGCACGTGGGCGCGCAGGCCTGGCGGCGCCTTTAACGCTGTGACTGCACGGTACGGGCGGGCAAGAATGAGCAGCAGTGTGAAGGCTGGTGAGACGCCTCGTAAAACTGGGGCGCGAGGGGCCGTGGCTGCTCTGCGCTGCTTGCTGCTTGCTGCTGCTGCTGCCGCCGCCGCCGCCGCCGCCGCCGCCGCTGCTGCTGCTTGCTGCTGCTGCTTGCTGCTGCTGCTGCTGCTGCTGCTGCTGCTGCTGCTGCTGCTGCTGCTGCTGCTCCTGCCATTCCTTCCCCTGCTGCTTCCTTCGTGCTCCTAAGCCACTGGGCGCGACCTTCTCGAGCTGGTATACAAGAAAGGGCACACGCCTCTCGCGCAGCAAGCGCCGCCCGAGAGCCACCGCGCCAGGGGGGGGAGGGGACGACCCACAGCTGAAGAGCAAGCCCTCTGGACAGCATGGAAGGGGTTCCGCTCTCCCCGTCTTCTGCCATCGTGGAAGCCTCTTGGGGCCTCCTTCGGGGTCTCGTGGGGGCCTCCCAAGCCTTCTCGTGGGCATCTGGGGGACCCGTTGAAGGGGCCCGTCAGAGGTCTCGGGGCCGCCTTGGGGTTCGATCCAACTCTCCTGAGGGGTTCGGTAGAACCATCTCGGGGTCGTCTGGGCAAGTCTTGGGGCCGTGCAGGGGCCCTTTTTGGAGCGGGGTTGCGCTGTCTTGGGAGGGACTCTCGAGCCACCCTGGGGCCCGTCCCTCGGGGCACTCTCGTGGCTTCCGTCGGGCCGTTCTGGCGCCCACGCCGTCTGCTCAAGACGAGGACCGACCTCGCCCCCCCATCGGCGGAGGCAGAGGAGGCGGATAGCCAGGGGGAGGCACTGCGTGCTACTGGGGCTCCGAGTGCCCACGTCGCCGACGAGCCTCCCAGGCGAAGGCGCGTACTGCCCGCCCCTGGGCTCATTGGCCGCCCCTGTCGCCCAGGGGGACCCCGCGTCAAGGGATGCCCTGGGCGGACACGGCGCACGAGGAGGCGGCGGCGGACGATGGCAGTGCCGCGAAGACGTGCCCAACCCTGTAGCACTCGGGTGAGAAAAAGAAGGCCCTGGGGCCTGTACCGAGAGAGAGAGAGAGAGAGAGAGGCCCCCGAGAGTGAGAGATGGAGGAGGAGGAGGAGGAGGAGGAGGAGGAGGAGGAGGGGAGGAGGAGGAGGAGGAGCGCCACTCCCCATGGCGCACCCGTCCCGTCAGGAGCAGAAGGAGAACAACGAGAGTGAGCACAGATGAGGATGGCGGCGGGCGAGGGCGGTATACCTCGCCTTGGTGAAGGGGAGGACCTGGCGGCCCCAATCACCTGTTCGCAGCCCCTTGAGCGTGTGGTATATAGTGAACAGGAGATCGATAAACAACATAATAGACAGTCTTCCCCCGTCGGGGAGGAGGAGGAGGAGGAGGAGGAGGAGGAGGAGGAGGAGGAAGAGGAAGAGGAAGCCCGGGCAAGCCACTGAGAGTGAGGAGCGGAACGCGCGCGCTGGCCGGACCACGCGGCGGCGGGCCGATGGCGGGCGGCGGCGGCGGGCGCGCGGCGGGCGGGGCGGCTCCCACCGCTTGCTCCGCCGGCGTGTCCTCCGCTCGCGGGGGGGGGCGGCGGGCCGAGGGCCCCGCGCGAGACGCCGCGGCGGGCGACCCCACGCCGCCCCAGAGGTCCAACGCATTGAAAAAGTCAAGACGGAGGTCTTTCGCAACTTTCGGCCTCGAGGGGCCCTCGCCGGGCCCCGAGACCGTCAAAAAACGACTCGGGATGAAAAACCGGTGCTGGGGAATGGGTCGAGACTTGAAAAACGGGGCTGGAAAAAACGGCGGTGGACAAACCTCCCTTTAGTAAACCTCCCCTTCGTGAAAACGGCCTGGGACCGAAACCGACGGACCTGGACCCGCAAAAGTGACGGCCGCGACGCACTCTCGCGAACCGAAAACGGCCAGTTCGCTAATCGACGTGTCAGGGCAGGAGGTCTGTCCACCCCCGAGACTTCTGGGGTCCCCGTATTGAAAAAATCACGACGTCGGATCTCTGGGGCGGCTGGCGCGGGCCGCCAGCGAGGCGCCTCTCGGCACCGGAGAGGCGAGGCAGCTCGCGCGGGGCAGCCTGCGCGGGCACGTCGGCGCGCGCACGTCGGCGCAAGTCGGCCCCGTTGGCTGCCGTCGCCCCCCCACGACGGAGGGGCAGCGATAGAGTCGGGGCGTTGACCTAAGGAACCCTAAATAAGGAACGAGGCCGCCTTTTTCCATAAGTTGAACTTCAACTCCCCATCGAAAAAATAAGGAAAACCTGAGGCAAGCTGTGAAACAATTCTTCAGCGACCCGACTGTAGGGGGGGGGACAGGCACAGGGGGGGGGATGCATCGACCTGGAACCGACGACACATCGTCGATGGATCGGCGACAGGCCTCCGATGGCGAGTCCGCACCTTCCTGGGGGGGGGGTCGGGGCTCTCGGGCCCCTATCGGCGATCAATGGGCGATTGGGGGTCGATGCATCCCCCCCCCCTGTGCCCATCGCCCCCCCTCGCTGCCCCCGGCCGAAGCCTCGCGCAGCCGAGCCGCGGGGGCCCCCGGTGCCCTCCGCGCTCGTGGGTGCTCGTCGCGCCCGCGGGTGGCGGCCGCGCGGATGTGTGCCGAGCTCGGCAGCGGCGGGCCGCAGGAGCGTCCTCGCGGTGGAGCCGCCGAGGCCCCAGATCTAAGTCGGGCCCGGCCCCCTACAGGGGGATGGTCGACGAAACATTTAAAAATACTCCAAAAGATACCCCCAAATCGTACCCCCCAAAAAAAAACTCAGAAAAAAAGTTCCCTGACGATTGTTTGACTATGTTTGAATATTCCTCCTGCAGAGGGACGGGCCCGACTGAACCCCAGACCAGATCCCCTCCCCTCTGAAAAAGACACGTCTGCCTAGCACCAGCGCAAACCAGCAGCGATATACACAGGCGAGCCTGGCAGCTCGCGCTGGAGAGGCAGGCGATCAGAAGGCACCGCCAAGGAAGGGGCAGGGCAAGCTGACAGCAAGCGACAGGCAAGCTACTGGGAAATTAAAGGCTACTTGATGGTTAACTGCAAGTATATGATAGCGGGCTACATGCACGCTAGAAGCAAGCTCGAAGCCAACGAGAAGCACTGGAAACAAGCTACAACAACCCTGCTAAACAACTACTCTGAAAGCATGGTAAACATGCAAGGCGGCGAGAAAGTATTTGGACGGAGCAGAGAAGCAAACGACGAGACAGCCGCATGCAATTTCAGTGCCAGCGGCACGGCAGACAGGCAGCCGAACAAAGACAGCCCCCTTGTGGGGCCATCAGGTTGCGTGGCGGAGGTGCTTTGCTTCCTGCGGCAGTGCCGATGTCCAGTTTCCAGTGTGATCGTGCTGCTGCCTGCGTCCTACTGCAGATTGTGGCTCTCCACGCGCGGGGGGGGGCACTGCCAACCGCCCCTGGCCACTGTCTCGGGATCGGGCTGCCTGACTGGTTGGTGGGCCTGGGAAAAGCACGTGGGAAGCACTGGAGATCTCGCGCCCCCGAAGCGATAATCTGTCGTGGATTGCGCCAGGTTCACTCTCCCGAGCCCAAAATCCCTTCAGAAACTACTCAACGTTCGCGCTCCCGAGGCCAAGGATAGAGGCCCGCTTGATGGGGTCGGAGTAGATGGGGTCGGAGGATCGCGCCGCATCGCCGATGCATGGCCGACGTCGGCGATACAACCGAGACATCGGCGTGGAGAAAATCGGGCCCCACTTTGAGCCGCATCGCCGATACATCGGCGATGCGGCCCGATCCTCCGGCCCCATGTACTCCGAACCCATCTAGGAGGCCTAAAAAAGTATTCCTTGTCGCGATCCCGAGGCCAGAATGAATGGTAAATTACGCCGAGCCCACGCGCCCGAAGCCATGATCTTTCGCAAATAACACCAGGTTCGCACCCCCGAGGCGGGAGTCCTCACTCCCGACACCAGAATCCCGATCAAATTACAACATGTTGGCGCTCCCAGAACCAGATCCCATCGCAAATCAAACAAAAATCGTTCCCCCCCCCCGAGGCCAGAACGCACAGTAAATTAAGCCAGATTCGCGCACCCGAGACCAGAACCCCTTTTGCAAATTACGCGAGGGTCGCGCTACCGATACCAACTTCTTTCGAAACTTGCGCCAGGTTCCGCAGAGAACACTCCGACAATGCAACAAAAGGTTCAACAATAAGCCCAACACCTCCATACGTGTTGCTGATTCCTATCCGTCCCGCATGATGTTCCCAGATATCTTCAAGACTGTGCCCAGGCACTCCGACACAGCTCTGATATCTCCCACTCGGGTATAGAGAGGGCAGGCGGCAGAGGGCGAAACCCTTACGGATGAAAGGGAACAGCACTTTGTGAGCTACCAATATACAAGCTCAAATCAACGAGGTTAACAAAACCTCATCCAACGACAAAGAAAACCATGAGAGCACTTCCAACATCAAGTGATACTCAAGCTCAAAGAAGAGCTGACACGCACGCTGCGGGACGCGGATAAAAACTATCTAAGCGCACTCCAAGCACATGCTATAAAGCACGTGGCGAAATCCCTTGGGGAACACCGGAGGGGGCCGTCACTGTGGCCACTGGCCCCCGGTGCAAGATGAGCGCGAGACCCGTCTGCAGACCTGACCGTCGAATATCTGCACTCACGGGGTGCCTGCCCAGCTGCACGCCAGGAAATCTCCCAGTGCGACCGACAGCGTTGGCGTTGGCTTCCTCAGCGATTGTCAGGTCGGGGATGCCTCCCTGCAGGCGGATTTTGGGCGAAAAATAACGAGATGCAAAAAATGCCCCCAACTCTAGCCAAACAAATACTCGAACAATCGTCCCCATATCATTTTCCAAAATACTCAAGCATGGCAAAAAATGCTAAACCACAAAAGGTCCCCTGACTATTTTCTAATTATTATCGGATGCTCCCCCTGCAGAGGGAAAGGCCCGACTTATAGCGCTTGCCATGCTGCGATGCTTGTTTGAATGCGGCCGGGGCGATGAGCCCCGAACATATGCGAGCGCCGCGGGTGTGCTCAGAAACCAAGTGGTACCCAACACCTGCGGAAGAACATTGAAGATCCGGCGCAGAGTATAGTATTCGGCCTGACCTAAGGAACGATAAATGAGGAACGAAGCCCTTTTTTTCCAAGTAAGTCTAGGCAGTCCGAAGGAGCACCAGGGGGACTCGCCGCCAGAAAGGTAGCGGAACGCATGCAAACCAAAGGAACGGCCGAGGGCTTTTTGAAACATTGAAAAGCACATGTTCCTTATTCAAGCCGGACCCTGCATTCACGGAGCGGTGGAGGAACGGTGCTGAGTGCGGCTGCAGCCAGAAGTCCAGTACCACCCGACGACTCGCTCTTCCTGGAAGGCTCGCCGCTGTGCCCGACGTTGGCACACCTCCCCGCGCTGAATCAGAATCGCCGCGTCATCCACGACATGTGCGGCCGGATCGTGTCGTTGCGACGCCGGCGTTGGTTTCTGACACTCGTGAACCATTCAATCTTAATCGAGGCATCCTAGATGAGGTCCGAGTAGATGGGGTCGGAGGATCGCGCCGCATCGCCGCTGCATCGTCGACGTGGGCGATGCATGTGCAACGTCGACGCGAAGCAAATCGGACTCCTCATCGAGCCATCGGCGATGCGTCGGCGATGCAGCGCGATCACCCGACCCTCATCTGCTCCGACCCCGTTGAAGAGGCCTAGACTTAAGCGAACGTGGCTTTCCGATCACGCGAATCGTTCCACACCTGGGAAAACCAGAAGGTACTGCTACTGCTACCCCCCAGAGATCTCCCGGGGTGCGTTTTAACAAAGATTTCGAGGCGAATCCAGCGGTGGCGACGAGGGCCTCCCAGGAGGCCCCCAAAAGGGGAAAACGAGCACTTCCTCCTCCGAAAATCGGCCGCTTGGGGCTGGAAGCGTTCAGCTCTGAACGCTGCCGCTGGGGTCGCCCACGCGCCGGCGAGGCGCGCGAGAACCTGTCGCGGGTGGTCGGATATATATATATATATATAGAGAGAGAGAGAGAGAGAGAGAGAGAGAGAGACGGCGCGGCACCTACACAAAAGAGCGCTGCCGAAAGGGTGCGGTGCAAGGCAGTGCCTCCTCACCACTCCTCCCGCCCGCCCGTTCGGTGAGCGCGGGGGTCCATGCGGCTCTTGGCCGCAGAGGGATCAAGGGCACCTGGCCGCTCTCCCCTCCCGCGGGGGCCTGGTTTGGATCCATGGGCTTCCGTCCGCGGGACTGCCCGAAACGGCGCGCGAGTCGGAGCCGCCTGCGCTGGCCCCGAGGGCCTCGACGCGCCTTGCGGAGCGCTCCTCCCCCCACGCTTGGTATGATCTGGGTCGGGCATGTCCTCCTGCAGGCGGATTCTGGGAGACAGACGAAGACAGGCAACACAAACTCAAGCATAGTAGCAAAACTCGAAAAGTCGCCCCCGGATCATTCCTAAGTCATTCGAATGTGCCTCCTGCGGGGGGAACATGCCTGACCTAAGGCATGATGGATGGAGCGCCCCCCCGCCCCGTGCCCACTGCGCGGCGCACCCCCCACGCACTGGGGTGGCCTTCCGAGCGCGATGGCAAGCTCTGTCGGAAGGAACGCATGGTGATGTTCGGCAGTGTACTGGATTCCCTGAGATCCTGGCGACTCAATTTTTTCGAGCCAGGCGTTTTCGCATTTTTTCGGGTCCCAGGACCCTCACAGATCGATCCGGCTCGAAAAATGCCGCAGAAAGATGGGCTCCGGGGCTCCAGGCGCGGATTTTCACGATGTTGCACATTTTTCGCTACGTCGGATCTCAGGGTTGGGAGATAAGTACGCGTCATTCATTTCTAATCCTGCTCATTTCTGACCGTGCTCGTTTTCAACTGTTCCTGGCCCCCTGGTGACCAGTAAGAGGCCCAGGATAGAGCACGCAGAAATGGAAGGACCTTGGCACCCCAAAGAATCGAAGAGTTCTCGAAGACTTAGAACTGAACAATGTGCACGAAGGGGCCCTGGGACACACAAAAGTAAATACACACAAATAACAGGATTCCCTATGTTTTCTCATATTGTTTGAATTTTCGTCTGCCACCCTGACTTCCCATATATTTGCATATTTTCCTGAGAATCGACGATTCGTTGTGTCTGTGAGTTTTTTTCCCTCCTGGGTGCAGCCGATGGCGAACCGAACACGAAACAGTCGCGGTCTGCTTCGCGGGGCGGTGGCCGACAGCGGAACGAGCGCAGACGTCCGCGCGGCAGCAGATCCGGGCACCACGGAAGCAGGTTCTCCAGGGGCTCACAACTTTGCGCTTCGCGCTGCGCGAATCGCGAAGTGCGAATAACTTCGCGCTCTCGCGCCGCCCCCAAAAAGGAGGAGGAGGAGGAGGAGGAGGAGGAGGAGGAGGAGAAGGAGGAGGAGGACGACGAGAAGGAGGAAGGAGGAGGAGGAGGAGGAGGAGGAGGAGGAGGAGGAGGAGGAGGAGAAGCGGAGGAGGGGGGAGGAGGAGGGGAGGAGAGGAGGAGGAGGAGGAGGAGGAGGAGGAGGAGGACGAGGACGAGGAGGAGGGGGAGGATGAACGAGGCCCGCGAGGCGCAAAGCGCGACCAACTTCGCGCCCTCGTGGGAGCCCTTGTTTTCAAAGGGGCACGGGTCCTGGAGCCCAGGGCAGAGCTGAACCCAAGCGGTGTTTTTTTGTTTTCGTTCTGTTCTCGTTTTCCCTCGTGTTGTCTCCAATCCGCCTTTACCGCAAAACGAGATCGGAACGAAAACGGCCCACGAAATCGCCCAAACACCGTTTAGGTCCAGCCCTGGAGCCCAGGGCTTTCCCGGGGGCCAGTCTTCGTCCTGGGGCTTAGGTCGGGCCTGTCTCCCAAACAGGCGGATTCTGGAAGAACACTAAGAAACATCGTCGACAAAAGACCCCCCAAGATAGTCCAAAGTAGTCGAACATCGTCCCCAGAGCGTTTTCTAATACCGTTTTGGAATCTTCGTCCTGCAGAGAGGGACATGCCCGACTGCACGGGATGCCTGCCCAGCTGCGCGCCAGGAAATCTTCCAGTGCGACCGACAGCGTTGGCGTTGGCTTTCTCAGCGCTTGTTAATTAGGTCGGGCATCCTATAGGTGGATTTTGGGCGAAGAATGGGACAATCCAAAGAACGCCACCAAATATCAAATAAATGCTAGACACATCGTCCCCTAACTACTCCAGGTCTCTCAATAAGCGTGGGGGGGTGGAGCGTGGGGGGGTGGATCGCGGGGGGGGGGGGGGGGGGAAACCGCTGTCCTTCGGGGGGCGTGGGGAGGTTGGGGAGCGAGAGGGGGTGGGCTTGGGGCGCGTGGGGGGGGGCGGGCAAGGGGCGTCGGACAGGTAGGCACGGGGGGGAAGTGCTTATTGAAGGATCTGGAGTAATTCCTTACTATTTCGAAGTCTCCGCCCATCAGAGGGACAGGCCCGACTCCATCCTGGGCCCGTGGCTCGACGGCCGGGGGGCTGGGCCGCGAGCCCCGCGGAGCCCCCCCCGCCGCGCGCCCCACGAGCTCCGGGACACGCCTCCTCCAGGGACCCGGGGCCTGCGACCACCCCCAGAGGTCCAACGCGCACTGACAAAGGTCACGACGGAGGTGTCTCGCAGCTTCCTGGAAAACATCACGACGGAGGTCCTTCCCAATCTGCAGCCTCCCTGTGGGGCCCTCGCCAGGCCCCCGGGCCGTCCGAAAACGATCTACTCGGGAGGAGAGCCGGTCCCAGGGGAGACCGGGTCGAGGCTTCCAGGGCCCCGCACGGAAAAGATCAGGGCATCGGACCTCTGGGTCGGGGAGGAACCTCCACGGCCCCTTCTCCTCCTCCTCCTCCTCCTCCTCCTCCTCCTCCTCCTCCTCCCTCCTCCTCCTCTCCTCCTCCCCCTTCCCTTCCCCCTCCCCCTCCCCCTCCCCCTCCCCCTCTCCCCCTCCCCTCCCCCTCCCCCCCCCTCACCCCCCTTCTCCTTCTGCTCACGCGCCCTTTCTCTTCCGCGCCGTTGGCCCAGCGGCCCGAGGCGGACCAGGCCGAGCTCGCCCTCGGCCCACCAGCCTGAGGGGGGCCAGGCCGATCTCAGCGAGGGCGAGCCCTATAGGCACTGGCGCCGGGCTCGTGGCACCGCGCCGGGCACGTGCCCGGCGCGGTGCCGCCCCAGCGAGCGAGCCGACTGCTTTGAGGCGCAGCGATCGCTTGCTCGCGGGGGCTGACACTGAGGGTAATTAGCTCGACTCGTCGGGAGGGGTGAGGAGCGCTCCTGGCCCAAGGTGCCCCCCGGCCTTTCGCCCGCGCCAGCTTGAAGCCCCCAGGGGGGCTCCTCTGCCCTTGGGGCCTCCTAGGGGCCTCCTGGTCGGGAGTTGTTCTGTCTTGTTTGCAATCTTCGGCCTCCAGCGGCCCTCACCGGGCCTCAGGACCGTCAACAAAATGATTCGGGCTGAAAAGCTGGTCATGGGGAAGGGGTCCAGACCTCTGGGGGTCGACGCGGTGAAAACATCACCCTCTCCTCTTTCCTCCTCCTCCTCCTCCTCCTCCTCCTCCTCCTCCCCTTCCACCTCCTCCTCCTCCTTGTCCTCCTCCTCCTCCTCCTCCTCCTCCTCCTCGGTTTGGGGAAGAAGCCTTGCCCGGCACCCCCTCGGGCCAGCACTAGAGGTCACTCCGGCGAAGAGTCACTGTCACGTGCAGCCGACCTGCATGGGGGCATGGTCGCGCACAGGCGAGAGCAGTCAACCCGTATGACAGGGATGCGCGGTAATGATGCAAGGGCCTGGGAGGGCCACGTTGACGTTCTTCGAACGAGGTTGGCCAGAGAAGTCGCTGAGGATGGGCCGACGGGGCAAGGATGCCTGGGCAGCCTTGGAAAATTGCTCGGCCCTACGATGAGGGTTGACTGTGCTCCCTGCCTTGAAGCCGGCCTGGCAGGGGGGAGGGGGCGCGGGGCAGGCCGGGGAGAGTGGGGAGCCGGAGGGGGGGAGGGGGGAAGCCGAACGTGACGAGGGCGACTGGCAAGGACAGCATCACACCGCCGGCGTGCGGCTACGGATGTGAGACCACCACTAAAAAGTACATACGCCTCCCGCGGCTGCCCACTTGCAGCGGTGGCAGGCGGTGGCAGGCGCGTGCGAGGCCCCGAGATCCGACGGCGCTCCTCCTCCTCCTCCTCCTCCTCCTCCTCCTCCTCCTCCTCACCACCACCACACCCGCCTGCGCGGGGCGTTCTCCAGCCGGGCCACTCCGTGGGAGCCGCAGGACCCGGCGCGGAGCAGACAAAGAGGGCCCCGTGAGGAACCGGGCAAAATGGGCCCCAGGGAGCTTTTTCTCGAAGGGGCTGCAGGGGCACACCAATAGACACACAGGTCCCAGGATTCCACACGTTTGCTTGTGTCTTCTGGGTGCTCGTCTCCCCCCCCACTTCCCATCTATTCCGATCTTTTCCTGGGAATCGACGATGGGTTTTGTCTGTGTGTGTGTGTGTTTGTTCCCTCCTGACTTCTCCTGGACGGAGCGTTTTTGATCCCGAGTCGTCGCACGACGGCCGCGGAGAGGGGGGTCTGGGAGCGGCGGAGCCCCTGCAGGACCTCTTCCCCCCAGGACCCCCTTCTTGTGGGACGTGCAAAGACATACACGTCGTTCACTTCTAATCGTGCTCGTTTCTAATTGTACTCGTTTCTAATTGTTCCTGGCGCCCTAGTGGCCAGGAAGAGGCCCATGATAGAACAATCAGAAATGAAAGGATCTTGGCCCCCCAAGAATATCAAATAATTTTCAAAGAATCAGACATGAGCAATGTGTACTAGTACTAGATGTCCTCCTTGGAGGCGCGCGTCCGACCCGAACATGTAGTATACAAATATCGTAGTGCCAGTGTGGGCCCGTGGACTAAATCCACGGGGCTGCGTGAGTCGAGGTTTGCCGACGCGCGCTTCTGTCTCCGGCGCGCAAATGCCAGCAAGCTGCGGTGCGCGATCGACAATCAACGGGAATCGATGATTCTCGCCTCTCCGAGCCCTCTTGAGGGTCCTCCTGGGGCTCTGTTGGGGCGCGTGAGGGTCTCTGGGGCCGTCTTGACAGCATCTAGGGCCGTCTTGGGGTCCTCGTGGGCAGGCTCGGGGCCCTCTTGGCCTGTCTTGGGGGCCTCTGGGGAGCTTGTTGGGCCGTCTTGGGGGCCTCATGGCCGGCTTCGGGGCCTCCTGGGCCCCCCTTGGGCCCCTCCGGGGCCGTCTTGGGGCTTTCTTGGGCTCCTCTTGGGCCGTCTCGGCGCGATCCTGGAGGCCTCTTGGGCCGCCTTGGGGGTCCAGACGGTTGCGAGTGCGAGAATCTCAGAATCCGTAGGAAACCCACGGGAAATCCACGATTTCGGCATCTTGGGGCCCGCTAGGGTGTACCCTCGGAGCCGTCCTGGGGCGTCTTGGTGGCCTGCGTGGCCGCCTTTAGAGCATCTCAAGCCGTCTGGGGGCGGGCTTGGGCCCTCTCGGGGCTGTCTCTGGTCGCCTCGAGGCTTCCTTGGTCCGTCTCGGGACCTCTTCTGGGGAGCTCCAGCGCCGTTTCGGGGCCCTCCGGGCGCTCTCCGGCGCCGTGAACTTCGGACTCTCTGGGGGGGCTCGAGGAGCCGGGGGCCCTCGCCAACCCGCAGAGCTCCCTGCGGATGTATTTGAATGGATGTCGTTTCCCGAGCGGTGTGGCCAGAAGGCGCCCGCCACGACGCATATGTCATAAGACTTCTCGGTGCGCGCGTCGCCCCTGGGGGGGGGGGGCGACGCGCACATAGTATTAGAATGTTGGGGTGGCGCCGATTCTTAGACGAAGCCAGAACGAGGAGGACAAATCGAGAATCGCTGAGATCCCGCGGCTCTCGAGGATGTCTCGGGCGCCGCGGCCCTCTCAGAGCGTTCTGGAACGCTCTGGAACGGACTTATCCTCGTCCTGGCCCCGTCCGACCTTTGCTTTGCCCCCAAGGCGGAACATGCCCGTCGCGATCTGTTCCACAGCTCTCGGTTCTCGGACGGGGCCAGGCAGCCGAAAAGCTGAGAAAAAGCGCCCAGCATGCCTCGAGGTCGTACGCCTTGCGAGCGTGGGCAGTGCCCGAAGAGTCGAAAACGCCGGGAGCAGCGAGGGGCGAGCAGGATAATCGGGAGAGAGGGGCGGAGGAAGCGACGGATTTTAGAAGCAGGGGCGGGGGTGAAAGAGAGAGAAAGAGAGAGAGAGAACAAAAAAAGACAGAGAAATGGGGGGAGAGAGGAAGAGGGGGAGGAAGAGGAGGAGGAGGAGGAGGAGGAGGAGGAGGAGGAGGAGGAGGAGAGGAGGAGGGAAGAAGAGGAGGAGGAGGAACAGGACCTTGCTTAGACCTTCGCCCCTCGCTGCGGCCGCCCTCTGCCCTGTCTCTCCCTCTTGCAGCCGGACGAGTAGCACGCTCCGCCGCAGCTGCTAGGGAGCGCGCGAGCGGATGGCCTCGGCCGCGCCGCGACGAAACGCTGTCTCTGAAGGGGCCCTGGGACACACGGATCCATAGACACAGAGAACAGGGTTCCGGTTCTTTTTTCCCAGGCTTTCTCTGTGGGTTCGTCTCGTCTTCTCCTCCTAGTGTTCCATAGGTTCCCCTAGTTTCCCCTTTCTTGCCATATGTTCCCCTGTTTCCCTGGGGGTCGACGACTCATTGTGTCTGTAGGAGGAGGAGGAGGAGGAGGAGGAGGAGGAGGAGGAGGAGGAGGAGGAGGAGGAGGAGGAGGAGGGGGAGGAGGAGGAGGAGGAGGGGGGGAGGAGGAGGAGGAGGAGGAGGAGGAGGAGGAGGAGGGAGGAGGAGGAGGAGGAGGAGGGGGCCGACGACTCATTGTGTCTGTGTTTTTTGTTCCGCCTCCCGAGTTCAGGCCTTCGCGCCGCGAGGGCAGCGCCGAAGAGCGGCAGCGCCGTCCACCGGCCACCGCCCCTCGGAGCAGCAGGGGCCCCGCCTACAGCGGTGAGGCTCGGCCAAGATCTCACCCAGGAGGGCGAGGAGGATTGAAGGGGCCCTGGGACACACACACACACACATAAATACACAAAAATACAAGAATTCCCTTTTTTTGTTTTTTTTTTTGTCTTCCCCCCCCCCCTTCCCGTATTTTTGCACATTGCCCTGGGAGTCGGCGATTAATTGTGTCTGTGTGTTTCTTCCCCTCCTGAAGGATGAGATGGACAATACATTCTATAATTCGCCCTCGCGCCTACGTCCCACACCTCATACGTCGCCCTGCGTGTTTTCTCTCGCTGGCAGAACAAACGGAACCTGTCTGCTGAAATAACGAACAACGAGCCAGATCGGCCTGCCATTTTGGCATGGGCCTCGCTCCGAAGGCGACGTGCCCTGCACCCTCCTGGCGCACAGTCAGCAAGGCGAACAGCTAAGGTCGTACAGGTCGACGTGGAGTCCGGCGAGATCGCCCCTTCGAAGAAAGGATCTCCCCCCCACGCGTGTCAGAGATGCAACTGCTTACACGTCGTTCCTTTCTAATCGTGCTCGTTTCTAAGTGTGCTCGTTTCTAACTGTTCCTGGCCCCCAGTGGCCAGGAAGAGGCCCAGGACAGAGCAATTAGAAATGACAGGATTCGGCCCCCCCCCCCCGAAAAATCGATGGATTTTCGAAGAATGGGAAATGAACGTGTACACTGTACACCTGTGGCCCTTCGCTTCGGGAAAAATTATCAAGTGACAACTCAATGTTTTGGCAAGCGGCCGCCGTCGGTCCTTGAAATACTATACGGTATATACGTGTGCCGAAACTGCGGGGCTGGAATCCTCTGGAGCGAAGACCGCAGTCTGAATTCGAGCCGCCCTTCCTCCTTCTAGCGAGTGCGAAGTGTTACAACGAATGGGACTGGCTTGCACTCGACCAGGATAGTAAGGATGCGCGGTAAGGATGCAAGGATAGCAAGGATGCGCGGTAAGGATGCGCGGTAAGGATGCAAGTAGCAAGGATGCGCGGTAAGGGTGCAAGGGTGCGCCCGTTTTCCGTGCGGAGCGCAGCAGAATGCCGAAGGATGCCGAATACCGAAGGGGCAAGGATGCAAGGGTAGCCTTGGAAAGTTGCCCCATCCTTACTATCATGGTTGACTGTAATGCGACAGCCTCCTGGTTACAAGGCACGTGCTCCGTCGTTGTGGCTGCTGCAGGACTGTAAGACGAGTACGCGCGGCGCCAAGGCGAACGCCCCACATTGAGAACGACCCTTCTTTCCTTTAAAACGCTGCGAACATAAAGAGGATGTGCGGGGATACTCAAGCGAGAGCTCGAGTAAGAACAAGTCCCCATACGTCCCTGAAGCCGTTCCTAAGATATGAAACGAATGCGCGCGGCGCCAAGGAGCGAGCCGCATGCTTTAAACGTGCCCCTCCTTTATCCCTGAAAACGGTCAGATATTCAAATCAACGCACACGGCATTGAGGCGAACAGCACGCTTTCCAAAGGGGCTGCTCTCCATTCTTGAAGCTTTTGCAGAACTGCGAATGTGCGCGGCGCCGATGCGAGGCCCACATTTTGAAAACGAGCCCCCCATCCGTCCTTGAAGCTGACGCGAACTTTAGGAACGAACGTGCGCAGTCCTAGGGCGAGAGCCCCCCCCTTTGGAGAACGATCCGTGCTCCGTTCTCGTAACAGTGGCAAGCGCTACAGACGAACGTGCGCAGCGCTCAAGCGAGGCCCACTTCTGGAGAACCCCGCGCACCCTCCACCCTTCAAGCGAGGACGATCGAGGTGACTCGCCCGGGACGCCGACCCCCGGCCGCACGCAGCAGACTTCGTAACCCCCCTTTCCCTATCCCCCCCTTTCGTTCGGCCCGGGACCTGGGTTGGCAGACCACCCGCCGCGCTCGCGGGCAACTTGTAGAATGGCCGGCCTCGCCATTGCACGCATGGGCGTCCGAGCGCGCGCTTAGACGCGCCAGGGGGGGCGCGCATGCGACCGATCGCGGCCCAGCGGGGTCATGGCGCGCAGCCATCCACATCTGGCCGCGGCCGCGCCAGGCGGGCGGCGGGGACTTCGAGAGCGTCCCGGGGCCGACACGGGGCCCGAGACGACGGCGAGGGGCACGGCGGACAAGTGTCGGGCGACGGCGCGCGGCGGCGGGGGGGCGTCGGGGAGCGCGCTGGGCAGAGGCAGCGCCGCCTCCCTCCGGTGCGGCGCGCGCCTCCGTCGCCGCGGGCACGCCGGGGTGGGCAGGCTCCCCGCGCGGGGCCAGGCGTGGCGCATGAGTTCCAGTGCTGGGGCGGGGCGGGCTGCGAGGTCGGACGCGCGCGGCGCATGAGCGCCGCGGGCGCCGGCCGACGAAGCCGCGGGCCGTGCCTGAATTGGCCCATTTGGCAGGGCCCAACCTCTCGGGAACTGGCCCGCTCCGGGCCCGCGAGGCTGTCTGCGCAGCGAGGGCCAGCTCCCGCGAGGGTCCCACGAGCGGGCGCGGCGCACGGAAGGGGGCGGCCCCTGCGAGCCCCCCCGCGGGGACACGGCGGATCTCTCCTGGGTCCGAACGAGCGGCGACGGGCAAGGCGGGGCGTGGCGCGTGCAAGAGCGCGCGGGATGGAGTGCGGTCGGGCCCAGGACAAAAAGAACAGCCTGCAAGAACATGAGACCCTCCGCCAGCCAGAACACCCCAAAACATACGATCACTCGAGGGTACCCTCCCCCAGGATGCACGAGAACATCCAACAAACACGAAGAACATGAGGGTGCCCTCCCCGAAGTGACATCGATATTAACACCCGGGCCCGACCATACTTCAATATGGACACAAGGACGCTGCAACGACGAACTTCAACTTCGGCCGAGACCCCGCACGGGCCAACGCCGCGGCCACGGCTGGCGCGCTCGAGAACTTGCCACTCACGCTGAGAAGCGCCCCCCGCCCCCCGTATGAGAAGCTTTGGACCGAATCCACGGCGATGGCCTCGCTCTCAGGGCGCCTACACTGACGCACACTCGCCAGATTGCAAAACGCCGACGTCTTAAATCCATAGCTGTGGGGGCCTGGGGTCGGCTTCCCACTGTTCATGCCTGGCCCACCGACGGCCTGCTTAAGCCCCAGGGCCCCTAGTGCGCCCCGCAGCAGCCGGGGCCGCTCGCGGGCTTCAGGCCGGGACCGGACTTCGGCGGGGCCAGGGGCGATGCGGCAAACCCGCGAACTCGTGCCGAACAACTGCCCGAAAAAATGGAACGGACAAATCATCGAATTTTTTGCCGCGAACGAAACCGCGAACTTGTGCCGAACAACTTCATGAACAAATGAATAACAAATCTCTGAAATTTCCACCGCGAACACACCCGCGAAACTATGCCGAACAACCTCCCGACCAAACAGAAAACCCTCAACTGGCAATGAGAAATCTGGAAATTCAAACATACCAGCGGACGGCAACATACACGCGCACTGCAACCAATTCGCGCAATCAGAGGCAGCAGCGTGGAATGGGGACTCCCCGCTGCAATGTCCCGGCGGAGAACCGCGGATCACGTCTGGAGGCCGCGAGGAGGACATCCACCCCCATCCTCCTTGACGTCCACCACCTTATCCTCCTCAGTCCTCCCCAACAAGCACCTGCTCGTGCGCCTTTTCAAGCAGTGCCACCCTGGCACCCCCCCTCCCCATCGTCCTCCTCCTCCTCCTGGCCATCCTGGTCCTCCTCCTCCTCCTCCTCCTCCTCGTCCTGCTTTTCCTCCTCATCCTCATATCCCTCCTCGTCCTGCTGCTCCTCCTGCTGCTCCTCCTCCTCCTCCCTTACCTCCTCCTCATCCTCCTTCCCCTCCTCTTCCACCTGCTCCTGCATCAAATCATGGATAAGAGGCGGCAGGTTGCATGAAGAAGACGGCGCCGATGCACCTACATCCGCGGGCAGCTTGCGCGCGGGTGAACGCGCAATCGATCCCCGCGGCATCGCCTCCCCAACTTCAAACTAGGCGGTGCAACGGACCGCTTCTGTCAAAGCCTAGTTCCCCCCCCCCCCCCCCCCCCCTTGGGGGCGGTTAACCCACCCATCCTCCTAGCAGACCGTGGAGGCCTTGGATAAGGAATCCAGGGTCTGGAGCCTTGTGGAGATCCACTTGCGTGGAACGGGGGGGGGCAGAAATTGTCCGCCCCCAATCATTGTGAGCTCTCTGCCCTCCCTCCGTCTCCTCTCCCCCCCCTACTT